GAAGCAAATAAAGGAATAGGGAAATATGGTATATTTACAAATAAAGTGGAAAGAGAAGATAAATTAGAGATGGGTCCTAGGAGAAATACATTAAGAATTTGGAAGAAATGGCAACCAATGTGGTGAAAAGGTATATCAAGATGGGCACCATTAGAAACTTTAGAAAAGGATAGTATAGACCATAGATGGTGGGAACTGTTAAGAAAAAAAGGATTGAGAAGAATAAAAGATATATGTAATGGAGGAACTCTGAAGCCACTCCAAGCATTAGAAGGGGAGACAGGAGTACAATATTGGTTAAAAACAGTTAGTTTATACAAGAAAGTCAAGAAGCTAATGGAGGATAGGAATATAAGTATAGAGGAACCAATAGAAGAGATATATAAAAGAATGAAACAAAATAAAAGAGGGTTTTATAAAAGGTAAAGGTTCCCTTGCTTGAAAGCCAGTCGAATCCGACTCTAGGGTTGCGGTGCTCATCTCCGTTTCAAAGCCGAAGAGCCAGCGCTGTCCAAAGACGTTTCCGTGGTCATGTGGCCGGCATGACTAGACACCAAGGCGCACGGAACGCGGTTACCTTCCCACCAAAGTGGTACCTATTTATCTACTTGCAATTTCTTGCTTTTGAACTGCTGGGTTGGCAGGAGCTGGAACTAGAGATGGGAGCTCACTCCGTCATGCGGCACACTCAGGTTTTGAACTGCTGAACTACTGACCTTCCACAGCCTGCAGTTCAGCGTCTTAACCACTTGAGCCACCGCAGCTCCTTCAAAAGAGGGTTAGCAGGTGCAATATATAAGAAAATGATCTCAGATAAGAAACAAATAATTACTCAGTTACAAAGAAGATGGGAGACAGAAACGCAAATAACAGAGCAAAAAGCTATAAAAATTATGAATGGAATTACAAAAATTAAAATATACAAGTTTAAAGAACTAGAATTAAAAAAAATTACCAAATGGTATAGAACCCCAGCCACGCTGGCAAATATGTTTCCAGGACTGAGCCCTAACTGTTGGCACTGTAAAAATGTAAAAGGGTGGTATTCACATATGTGGTGGGAATGCCCAGAAGTTAAAAAATTTTGGAGAAATATTGAAGGAAAAATGAATAGACCATTTGCAGTACATATAAACATAGATTTTGAATTAATGTTAATAAGTACAATAGGATTTGAGAAAATAGAGAGAAAGCACCAAGAATTACTGAAAGCAATGGTTCTAGCAGGTAAAGCAGTTATAGCGGCAGGTTGGAAAGATGTAAGTAAATGGACAGAGAGAAACTGGCTTAACTATTTGTTTGAAATTAGTCAATCAGATATAATCTCCATAATTAACCAAGACATGCCGTGGGAAGACAGAACAGCGACAATCCAAGTGAAATGGACCATATACTGGAGATGGATGGATGGAAGAACAAAGAAACGACGTTCATTATCATATCACGTAGCCATTTATAGACAATTCAGTTGTAAGTGTCCCTACCTTCCATTCAAAAGCCAACTCGGCTCATTTTAGCCCATTTTCGTCACTGCATCCTGTGTCATCAAATTCCATAAGTACGACGGACCTTCATTTTGTCTGCCCTGAATTTACTATGGATCGATTTCATTTGGGTGACCTTGAATAAATCTCCGGCATGCTGTTCCTTTTCCCTCCCCTAAATTACAGATCTTTAAACCAGCAGCTGGGAAACAGGTGGGAAGCGGGCCCTCCCTGTAATTCTGTTCTTTACCTGATAAATGGCCTCGAAATAGCCAACACTGTCCGAATGAACCAAGAGGGGTGAACGATTATCAGAGCTTTCAGGTCTTCCGTAATCTGCACCAAAAAAAAAAGAGAGAGAGAGCCAGGCAGTGTAAGAGTGAGTAGGTTGATGAAGTTCACTTTAGAAATGACGGTGATTTTGTACCAGATTTCTGTAGAGATTTTTGTACTAGATTTTTGTAGAAAGCCAGTTTGGTGTAGTGGTCAGGAGCGCGGACTCTAATCTAGGAGAATTGGGTTTGATTCCCCACGCCTCCACATGCAGCTGCTGGTATGACCATGGGTCAGTCACAAGTTCTCTCAGAGCTGTTCTCTCAAGAGCAGTCCTCGAAAGAGCTCTCTCAGCCCCACCTACCTCATGGGGTGTCTGTTGTGGGGAGGGGAAGGGAAAGGAGGTTGTAAACCGCTCTCAGTCTCCTTAGGGTAGTGAAGGGCGGGTTATAACTCCAATCTCTTCTTCTTCTTCTTAAGAGTGGGGGACTCTAATCTGGGAGAACCGGGTTTGATTCCCCACTCCTCCACTTGCAGCTGCTGGTGTGACCTTGGGTCAGTCACAAGTTCTCTCAGAGCTGTTCTCTCAAGAGCAGTCCTCGAAAGAGCTCTCTCAGCCCCACCTACCTCACAGGGTGTCTGCTGTGGGGAGGGGAAGGGAAAGGGATTGTAAGCCGCTCTGAGACTAGTTACTTTGGTGGGTCAACAACAGGGCATAGAGGCTGAGCCCTTCCACTGATGTTGCCTCCTAGCATTGGGTTTCATAGGTTTAACTGCCTCTGAATTTTATTTCTGTATTTATTTAGGACATTACAATGCTGCTGCTGCTTGGGGCAGTTTACAGTTAAAACAACACAACGATATTAAAAACAATATTAAAACTAACAACAAGCCATGGGGCAGAAAGAGCATAAAAACTATCCATAAAACAGAGGCAAACCATACAAAAGCTGGTAAGATAAAACCCCTAATTAAAAGTGTGGTTTAAAATACGTGTTTTGAAGCCCGTCCACACGGAGGATTTGCCACACTAAAGGCACGAATGTCAGGCGGATTTTCGGGGCGCGATCACACCGCAACATCTGGGAAGCGTAGTGCACCCGTGGCTAACCCGTGGCGTCCTGCCGAAGATGCGGAGTAAAAAACCTTGCGGGAAATGCGAGGCAATGGCGAGCATCTGATCGCGTTTCCGCTGGAAACCCGTGGCATCCGGCATCCACCCATGTCCTGTTGCAAACCGGAGGTGTTTTTTTTAAGTCTCCACAGGATGCGCACAAACGATCATGCACATGCGCAAACTTCAGTGAGATGGAAGCAGCGGGGTGCGATTGCCAGTGTGAATGCGCCATGCTGCTTCTTTGCCACGCCGCAGACTTGCCGTGTGATCGGCACCTAACGGCCTAACCACGGGACCTCGACAGAACGTCTGATCAGGCTGCCGCGCGTTTCTTTGTTCCAGGGCAAACAGCCATGCTCCCCCCCCCCGCATTTTCTGGGCCGTGTGACCGGGGCCCATATCCTCCCCCGCGTTATCTGGCCCGTGTGGCCGAGGCCTTGGTTGTATTTAGATAAAAAATATGTGTTTTGTCCTGGTGCCTAAAACAAAGTACAAAGTGGGTGGCCAGTGAGCCTCAAGGGGGAGGGAGTTCCGGGGCGAGGTGCCACCACCAATGTTCCCTCTAAGCTGTGGAGTCTTGTGAGCAAAAATTCTAATTCGTGAGCTACTGGCATTAAAATTGTGAGCAAACGATTTGGCTACTGCATAAATTACGTTGCTCTGGAGCCATCCTTCCCGGGGAAAGACAAAAATCTGTGAGCTGAAGGCTAAAAAACTGTGAGCTGGTTCACACTGACTCAACTTAGAGGGAACACTGGCCACCACCATAAGGGCATCTCTGTCTCTAGTCACACACACCCCTTCACCTCTGAAGGCGGGGGCGCAGAGAGCAAGGCCCGAGAGGCAGATCTTAACTGGTGGGCTGGATAGTTGGGGAAGAGATGGCTGGTTAGGTACCATGGCCCAAGCTGTTTAGGGCCCAAAGGGAAGAACCAGCCACTTTGGATTACAGGGTGATATGATCCCTGTAATCAACGAAGAAGAAGAAAAAGAAGAAGAAGAAGAAGAGGAGGAGGAGGAGGAGGAGACTGGATTTATACCCTGCCCTTCACTACCCAAAGGTGTCTCAGAGCGGCTTACGAACTCCTTCCCCTTCCCCTCCCCACAACAGACACCCTGTGAGGTAAAAGAAGAAGAGGAGGAGATTGGATTTATACCTCGCCCTTCGCTACCCAAAGAAGTCTCAGAGCGGCTTACAATCTCTTTTCCCTTCCCCTCCCCACAATAGACACCCTGTTAGCAGTGTTCCCTCTAAGCTGAGTTAGTGTGGGCTAGGTCACAGTTTTCCAGAAGAAGAGATTGGATTTATACCCCGCCATTCACTACCCAAAGGTGTCTCAGAGCGGCTTACAAACTCCTTTCCCTTCCCCTCCCCACAACAGACACCCTGGGAGGTAAAAGAAGAAGAGATTGGATTTATACCCTGCCCTTCACTACCAGAAGGAGTCTCAGAGCGGCGTACAAACTCCTTTCCCTTCCCCTCCCCACAACAGACACCCTGGGAGGAAAGTGGGGCTGAGAGAACTGCTCTTTTTCAAGAACAGCTGTGCCAGAACTATGGCTTGCCCAAGGTCATCCAGCGGGTGCAAGTGGAGGAGTGGGGAATCAAACCCGGTTCTCCCAGATTAGAGTCCGCGCACTTCACCACGACACCAAACTGGCAAACAACAACAGCTTGGTTGTCACATTTTGGATCAACTGAAGTTTCCAGTCTGTTTTCAAAGTCATACCCAGGCGGAGCGCATTTTAGTAATCTAACCTGGATGTGATCAGAGCATGGTCCACCGTGGCCAGAGCATGCTTTAGAAGGAATGGCCATAGCTGGTGACCAGCCAGGGTTGATAAAAGGTGCTATGTGACACGTGGGAGACTTGAGCCCCCAACTATAGGCCAGGATCTTGTAGGACCCTCTCAACTCTGAACTTTCTCCTTCAGGGGGAGTGCAGGAAGACAAAGAAGAAGAGGAGGAGGAGGAGGAGGAGGAGGAGGAGGAGGAGGAGATTGGATTTATACCTCGCCCTTCACCCAGAGTCTCAGAGTGGCCTACAGTCTCCTTTCCCTCCCTCTCCCCACAACAGACACCCAGTGAGGCAGGTGGGGCTGAGAGAGCTCTTTCGAGGACAGCCTTTGAGAGAACAGCTCTGAGAGAACTTGTGACTGACCCAAGGTCACCCAGCTGGCTTCATGTGGAGGAGGAGTGGGGAATCAAACCCGGTTCTCTAGATCAGAGTCCACCGCTCTTAACCACGACACCGCAGCTGGATCTGAACCACAACAACAGGACTGGCTGGCCCTGCAGTCCTGAGCAGCTTCTCCATTGGCTAATAGCACCTCAGTCTTGTCCAGACTGAGCTTCAGTGGGAACCAACAGGCGGGGCTCAGGAGTTATAGACTGGACTGAACTCTCACCTTCTGTCAATCATTTGGTAGCATTTTTTCAGCCAGCCAATCCCAGGCATTCTTCGGCGTGGTGTAGCACCATTCAAGTACACAATCATGTAGTCCTCGGCCACCAGGAGCTCCAGGCTGCTGATCACATACCTTTCGGGATGAAAAATCAGACAGGGTATATGAAGACACAGAATTTTACCACCGGTGCAAAAAGGAAAACAACTCCACAGCTTAAAATGCGCTTGTTTGGAAGTCTGGCATATGCAAGTCTCTGAACAGTATTCTAACTTTTCCAAAGAAACAAGACTGCCCAATTGACACGCTTCAACATCCCATGCCCCAAGCCAGGGCTTTTTCTTTGGAAAAAGAGAAGAAGAAGAGATTGGATGTATATCCCGCCCTTCACTACCCAAAGGTGTCTCAGGGCAGCTTACAAACTCCTTCCCCTTCCCCTCCCCTGTGAGGTAGGTGGGGCTGAGAGAGCTACCTCAAGAACTGCCCTTGAGAGAACAGCTCTGAGAGAACTTGTGACTGACCCAAAGTCACACCAGCAGCTTCATGTGGAGGAATGGGGAATCAAACCCGGTTCTCTAGATTAGGGTCCCCCACTCTGAAGAAGAAGAAGAAGAGAAGAGATTGGATTTATACCCCGCCCTTCACTACCCAAAGGAGTCTCAGAGCGGCTTACAATCTCCTTTCCCTCCCCCTCCCCACAACACAGACACCCTGTGAGGCAGGTGGGGCTGAGAGAGCTCTTGACAGAAACTGCTCTTTTTCAAGAACAGCTCTGATAGAACTATGGCTTGCCCAAGGTCATCCAGCCAGGTGCAAGTGGAGGAGTGGGGAATCAAACCCAGCCTGGCTCACCACATAAATCAGTCGATCGAACTGAGCCGTTGTGAGAATGCCATCAGGACTAACACTGAAGTAGTGGTATGGTCTAATCCAGGGGTCATTTCGTAGAAAAAGAGCTAGGGGGACTCATTAGCATAACTCATTAGCATATGCCACACACCCTGACATCACTGGAAGTGTGTCCTCCCCACAGCCGGCGGTGACCTCCAGCGGGCACCAGCAGGGAGCTCCAGGCCCCGCCCTCCCGCACCTCACCCGGGGGGATGGCGTCCCCCCGCGTCCCCCAAATGACCCCTGGTCTAATCTAGGAATTTTTGCTCTTGCACTTTAATTGTTCCGGCACTTTAGGAAAATGAATAATCGATGGTTTACGTATGTTTTAACTGTATTTTTATATATGCATTTTATGTAAGCCGCCCTGAGCCCTCCTTGGCGGGGAGGGTGGGGTATAAATGGAAATTGATGATGATGATGATGATGATGATGATGATGATGATGATGATGATGATGATGATAATGATAATGATAATAATAATAATAGCTTTTATTGTTATTGTTACTGTTGTTTCCTGCCCTGAGCCTGCTTGCAGGGGGGGGAGGGCTAGAAATCAAATCCATCGAATCCTATCGAAGGCCCGCGGGAGCAGCGATAATGAGAGCTTCCCAGAGAACTGCTGCTGCCATGCGGGAAAGCCATGTGATGCAGCTGAAAGCAGGACCTCCTCCCTTTGTGGAAAAGGGCCGAGTGGGCTGTCGTCACTCACAAGAAGAGATTCTCCATGATGTAATGATAATCCGGCAGGCTGCTGTCAGGCAGATAGCAGGCAGCAAAGACAATGATGGCGTTGAGGCCTTCTCCATAATAGCCTGGGGAAGAGAAAAAAAGAGCAAGAGCACTGATGGATTGGGTGCCGTGTCTAAACAGATCCACCATTACAGTTGCAGGGGTTGCCTTGACCCGGATGGCCTGGGTTAGCCTCGTCTCCTCAGATCCCGGAAGCCAAGCAGGGCCGGCCCTGGTTAGCATTTGGATGGGAGACCACCAAGGAAGTCCAGGGTCTCTGCTCAGAGGCAGGCAGTGGCCAACCACCTCTGAATACCTCTTGCCTTGAAAACCCTTGAAAAAAATTCAAAAAACCAGTGGGGGGACATTTTAACCTTCCAGGACATTCAGTGGCTGACCTAAGAGTAGCAGTTCTCTTACAAAGGAATTTCAAAGGGAGATTAGGAAGAGAGACAGCTGAACGGAAACTGATAACAAAGCTCAAGACCATGCATCCTCCTGGACCGGACCGAGACCTAGGTGTCCTGTCTCCTTACCAGTGCTGATTTCTCCATGCCAACTACCCCCTGCATATCACACCTAATCCAATCACACCTGCTATTGTCATTCACCTGCCATTGCCATTTGCCTGCTAATGTCATTCGGCATCCGAAATCACTCCACTTTCCAATATATAGTGACGGACTCACATTCTCACTGTATCAGTAGAAGTGAGCCGTGATTCACGAAAGCTCACACCCTGCCACAAATTTTGTTAGTCTTTAAGGTGCTACCGGACTCTTACTCTTTTTTTACTTGAAACCTCTGTGAGAGTTGCTGTTCAATTGGCTGAGATCTGACAGCCGTTTCCACCACCAGCTAGTTCTGTCATTCTGAGAAGGAAAGGGGGCGCCTGCTGACATCGTTCTTGTTCGGATTAATCTGCATGTTGCAGAGGCAGGATGGGGGGGGTTGGCTTTGCCCCCCGCCCAAGGTTCAGGCAGGTGGAAGACGTTTGGGTGGGAAGAGATTCCCAGTACTTGGGAAGCATGGGAAGGAGCTGGCTCCTGCAGGGAGATGTGATTGGGGTTCCACAAAGACTGCAAAAGCATACGGAAGGCCAGGGGTGTCTTAAAAGGATGTGAGTGTAAGCTGCCATGAGTAGGGAGAGCCGTGCTAATTGTTGTGCATTCCTTTCCATGCATTTAATTGCTTGCCAGCTGCAACGCTTATCTGTAAAGAGGTACTGGAGGAATGTGGTGTCTACCTTCCGTGGGATTGTTCTGGTTCCCAGCTTTTGCTACCGTTAGAAACTGTCCTGATTCCCGCTCGCGGGAGCCCGTCTAATTGGGTATTGCTGGGTGTGTGTGTGCATACGAATGCCCTATATCAAATTATGCGCATAGGTAACCCGCCATTCCTAACAGTGTTCATGTTACTGCATCTATGGCTTTTCAATAAAAGTAAAACCTTCTTGGAAGCATGTACTTCGTTGTTTTGCTGTGGGTCGTGACACAGACTCCTGCAACAATCAGAATCAACGACTCGCTTCTTCAGAAGGAAAGCTTATTGATACAGTATTGGCAGGGCATCTCTACTTCAGGTTCTGTGTTAAGACTAAAGCATAAAGTGTGGGGTGAATAGATATACAGGGTTCAAAGGGGGTGACAACCAATCAAGGAGTAAGAAGGGGCTCGTCAGAATGTAACAGCCCCGCTTTCCCAGAGGTGATGTTACAGCTAGGAACCAAGGTCAGGCACATAAAACATGAAGATAATGGAGCATCACCCAGACAGTGAGAGAACAGAAACGAAAACATCCCAAGCAGCGCCACCCCCCCCCCCCCCATACCAGACCCTATGGCAGCGAGCTGACTGTGAGAAAATGTTCTCTTTGGAATGCAGGCCTTTCTTTGGAGACAGCTCTACATGCAACGATTTCCACATTGAATATATTAGCTACAGGTGTGATTTGTCATCTGGTTCGTGAAAATTTAACAGGAGAGATGGATTTAAGAAGAGAGCAGGGATCATTTCGTCATGGAGAAGATCACGGATCACATCCAACGCTCTGGAATCTACCCCCCCAAAATCTAACTTTATGCAGAAATTGTTCCCGTTCTTAGAGTATGTTGAAAAGACCGATTGTCAACCGCACAACTCCACGTACCGAAACTTGCTTTACTTCTAACACGCACATTCTACTCAGTTCTACCCCCCCTCTCACTAACCACAGTCTACACAAGATCTAGTTGCAAACTAAGGTTTCCAGGTTTCAGTTGGAAAATACCTGGAGACTTTGGGGGTGGATCCAGGAAACGGCGGGGTTTGAGGAGGGGAGGGGCCTCAGCATGGAGCAACGCTATAGAACCCACCCTTCAAAGCAGCCGTTTTTGTCAGCTGGAGATCAGTTGTAAAAGCGGGAGATCCCCAGGCCCCACCTGGAGGCTGGCAACCCTATCGCAAACACATATGTAGCTAAAACATATGTTACAGGTCGGATCGTCATTAGAGCTTATTTCTCTATTTCTTTCCATATGAGGTTAACTGGTACAAGATATGGCTTATTTTCTGTATTCTTTCCAATTCCAATCCTATGATTATGTTGCTGACTTAGATATGTTATATCGTTTGTTACTAATCACTTTTGCTGATATATATGCTACATTGATTGCAATTGTATTGTTTGACATTCCATAAAATTGCAAATAGGTTTTGTTTTTTTTTAAAAAAGAAGAGAGCGCTTGTTTGTGTCTTTTACAAGTATCCACTTATTAAAAGCATTCCTGAAACATGCAGATCTCAGTTGACAGTATGTTGTATAACAGAAAAAACGAGACTAGATGTGTCGTCCCGGGCTAGCCTGATCTCGTCAGATCTCGGAAGATAAGCACGGTTGGTCCCGGTTAATACTTGGATGGGAGACCACCAAGGCGTTCTAAGGTTGCTATGCAGAGGCAGGCAATGGCAAACCACCTCTCCTCATCTCTTGCCTTGAAAGCCCTACGGCAGGGGTGTCAAACATGCAGCCCGGGGGCCAGATCAGTCCCCCAGAGGGCTTCTATCAGGCCCACAGTGGAACTGGCCGTTTTCTGCTGCTTCTTTCAGTTCTGCTGCTGCTGCGTCATCGTAGGTTTGCAGCTTACAGATACACACCTCAACAGCCATACTCAAGATGGCAACAGCACAGACATTTTGGTGCAATCATTCAGAGCAAGAGGTGTCAGTTATCAGACACTGTTAAATAAACAAAATATTGCAATAGTGCTGATGTTTTAAGCATGTTTTTATTTTAAGTAAAAAAGAACCCTTTGTGTTTGCGTCCTTTATAAAGTTTATCTCTCCGCTACCTGGCATGACATTTTATGACACACACGGCCCGGCCCAACAAGGTCTCATTTATGTCAGATCCGGCTCTCGTAACAAATGAGTTCGACACCTGTGCCCTACGGGGTCGCCATAAGTTAGCTGTGACTGGATAGCGTTTCCCACCACCACCAAGACAAAAGAGTATTTATGGATTCCCACCACCACCACTGGTCTTGGAGCTCCCAGCTCTCCACTAGAGCAGACCCTTTGGGAAACCTTCCGTTCCCATGTGCCCCGGCGCCACCTTCTCCCTCACCTCCGTGTGTCACCACTCTCATGTAGGGCTTGATCATCTGCAGATCGATGCGGTGCTCCTGCTCGCCAATGATGACCGTCCTCCACAGGCGTCCGTTGGTGGCGCTGCCATCTTCCGTGGCTCCGTCCCCAAACAAGTCTGCGCTGTCTCCGGGCATGTTTTTGGCCGTGGCCACAGGAGTATCGTCTGAGAGACATCGAGAAACACAACTTGAATAACAGTCATCATACATGAAGCTGCCTTGGACTGAATCAGACCCTGGGTCCATCAAGGTCACTCTTGTCTACTCAGACCGGTGGCAGTTCTCCAGGGTCTCAGGCGGTCTTCCACATTACCCACTGCCTGATACATTTTAAACTGGAGATGGTGAGGATCAAACCTGGGAGTCCAGGGGTCCTTCCCTGCAGGAGTGCACAGGAGCAGAGCTCCGGCAGTAAAGAGCCCAGGGGGCAGGCACATGCAACAAGCCCCACCCCCTGCTCCCAGCAGCCCTCAGTCAGAGCAAGAAGCAGCCAGGCAAGTTGCAGAGCCAACAGGTCCAAAACAGTCAAGTGGCACTTTCAAGACCAAGTTTTATTCCGTTACAAGCTCTCCCTCCTCTGCGAGGACAAATCTGCACGTTCCCCCCCCCGCAATAGCTAGCAATCCAAAACAGTCCAGTGGCACCTTTAAGGCCAAGTTTTATTCAGGTACAAGCTTTCCCTCCTCTGCAAGGCCAGATCTACACATTCCTCCCCCCCAATAGCCAGCAATCCAAAACAATCCAGTGGCACCTTAAAGACCAAGTTTTATTCAGGTACAAGCTCTCCCTCCTCTGCGAGGACAGATCTGCATGTCCCCCCCCAATAGCTAGCAATCCAAAACAGTCCAGTGGAGCCTGAGTGGTGGGTGTTGCCTTCTGACACACTTCCGGTGATGTTGGGGGTGTGTGGCATATGTTAATGAGTTATGCTAATGAGCTCCTGCACCTCTTTTTCTACGAAATGACCCCTGCCTGGGACCTTTTGCATGCCAAGCGGAGGCTCTTCAACTGAGCCACAGCCAGGCCTGTGGCCAGGATTTTGTGGCTTGTGGGGCAAAATTTTTTCTGGCGGGGCTGCCGTTATTTGCCATAATGAAGAGGGGTGGCATGCGCCCCTCTCCCTCCCCTCCTGAAAGATTTAAAGCACCCTTCAGCTGATCGGGCCCTTTAAATCTTGCAGGAGGGGAGGGAGAGGGGCGTGTGCCGCCCCCCACCCCCCGCTTCTTCTCAAAAGCATTTAAAGGATCCCTATAAATGCTTTTGGGAAGAGAAGAGGAGCCTTTAAGAAGTGGGGGGCCTTTAAGGAAGGGGGCTGGCCCTTTAAGGGAGGGGGCGGAGCCCCCAATGGCTCCATGGTAGCAACGGGCCAGGCCACAGCCGCTCCCTGGAGCCCAAAGAACATCCTGTGGATGGACATGCAACGGAAGAAATCCGGTTTGGCAGCCGGACAGGAAGGATGGGGAGTTGCCTGAGCAAAAACGAAGCCCGACATGGAAGCTTTTAGAGTCCTGCCTGGGCAGGGGGGAACCAATGGGCTTCCCGGAGACGACGTAGTCTTAGAGACCTTCTATGGGGGATCCACTTAGGACAGAAGGCCCAAGATGCTGAAGGTGCCTCCCCACCAATGCTCCCTCTAAGCTGTGGAGTCTTGTGGGCAAAAATTCTACTTTGTGAGCTCCTCCTGGCATTAGAGTTGTGAGCGAGCGATTTGGCTACTGCATGAATTAGTTTGCTCTGTGTTATGTACTGGGATTGAATCATCCCTGATTGAATCACCCCAGAGACTGGCTGAGCTTGGAGCAGAAGAACAATAGCCTGCCAGGATTCTGGAAGTAACCAATCTAGTAGTAATGTTACGTAAATAGCCTATCACTGGGAGTGGGGTGTGTTTGGGTGTGGCAATTGCATGCTATTCAACAGAGCTGAGGCTCTGGGGTCGGGTCTTGTCTTGCTCTTGCTGAAATTACTAATAAAGTAGAACTGATCACTAGGCTTGTGGTCTGTTCATCCATGGAACCTACTATTTAACACTCTGAAACCATCTTTCCTGAGCTAAGACAAAAATGTGTGAGCCGGAGGCTTAAAACCTGTGAGCTGGCTCACACTAACTCACCTTAGAGGGAACACTGGTTCCCAGGGGTCAATTCGTAGAAAAAGAGGTGCAGGAGCTCATTAGCATAACTTATTAGCATAACTTATTTGCATATATCACACCCCTTGACATCACCGGAAGTGTGTCAGAAGGCAACACCCACCACTCAGGCGCCACTGGACTGTTTTGGATTGCTAGCTATTGGGGGGGGGGGGAACGCGCAGATCTGCCCTCACAGAGGAGGGAGAGCTTGTGCCTGAATAAAACTTGGTCTTAAAGGTGCCACTGGACTGTTTTGAATTGCTAGCTGGGGGGGGGGGACATGCAGATCTGTCCTCACAGAGGAGGGAGAGCTTGTACCTGAATAAAACTTGGTCTTAAAGGTGCCACTGGACTGTTTTGGATTGCTAGCTATGGGGGGGGGGACACGCAGATCTGCCCTCACAGAGGAGGGAGAGCTTGTACCCGAAGGCAGGCGGGGGGCCCTCTGCAACTTACCTGGCTGCTTCTTGCTCCTCCTGGCCTGACTGAGGGCTGCTGGGAGCAGGGGGCGGGGCTTGTTGCATGTGCCCACCCTCTGCGCTCCTTACTGCCGGAGCTCCGCTCCTGTGCGCTCCTACAGAAAATGACCCCTGCTGGTCCCACTTTTAACTCTGTCTGCTCTTGACAGCCAAGTCCAGAACCAGCCTCCCTTTCACTAAAAAAGCAGAGCATAGAGAGGGGTGGATTTTTTCCTGCCCTTTCTCCCTCTTACCTTCCCACTCCAGTTCGTTCCCATTGCCCAGGAACTCCAGGGAGTCTGTCTCATCCGGGGTTTCGATGTCATCCACGTTTATGTCCAGGTCATCGGGCGTGTCCAGGAAATCGTCTGACAAGAGGGAGCCTTCGCTCTGATCCAGAGAAATGTTGATTTCCGGGGCGACGAGAGTCTTCCGCTTATGATGCGCCCCGTTACTAAAATTTAACGTATCTGGAGGTGCTGAGGGTTACAAAAAAGAAAGGGCAGTCCAGAACTGAGATGATATTCATAGAAGAAAGGTCACTGCTACGATCCTAGTAACAACCTGATGGAAATCTCAGTGGCCCAATGGCATTATTGTGCCTTGACAAAGAAAAGGAGGGCTACGTACTTTGGCTGACTGGCTAGACTGCTAAACTATAAGAACTTTTGATTTAAAAAGAGGCCCCTCTTTTTTAAAAAGTTAATTGTTTTTAAATACAAATATTTGTTCAGGTATTGCATCCTTGGAGCTATGTTATAAATAACATCAAGATTCTTTTTTTAAAAAATCATTTAAAACACTGTTGTAAAATGACTGAAATCAATAAAGCGGTTGAGTAAAATGCGCAGGAGACTGAAAATTGTTCAGTGCAAGCAGTCCCTTAAAAGCTTTCTAAGGGGGGGGGGGGTGACCAAACCGCCAAACAATGAGACGTAAACATTCTAAGAAGACTTCAGCGCAGAGCAGCCAATAACATTTTCTAACTAAAACTAAAACGGACAGGAGGGCCTACTATAAGAATGCTCAGACTTTTTATCCTCTGGCCTTGTAGCTGCGTGATAGGGTCGGTAACCCACAACTGCAGTACTCTCACGGGGCGATTCTGCATCTGGCACGCGTTCCACATCTCCTCAACACTGAGGAAAAGGTGCCGCTCAAAACCCCATTCAGATACCCCGGGGGCAGCCCCGCACTGACTGCGCTGTCACCCCTGAACGGCCACAAATCTACGCAGAAGGTACCATAAAAGCCGATGGTCAAAGAAAGGGAAAGTGGCATGCAATGCAGAGGGAAACTTCTTTTCCAAGGAGGGTTTGGTAAAACAGTGGAGGGAAAGGCCAATGCAAAATCACCCACGGAAGAAGAAGAGAGAAGAGATTGGGTTTATACTACCCAAAGGTGTCCCTTCACTACCCAAAGGTGTCTCAGAGCGGCGTACAAACTCCTTTCCCTTCCCCTCCCCACAGCAGACACCCCGAGAGGTAGGTGGGGCTGAGAGAGCTCTTGACAGAAACTGTTATTTTTTTCGAAAACAGCTCTGAGAGAACTTGTGACTGACCCAGGGTCACCCAGCTGGTTGCATGTGGAGAAACGGGGAATCAAACCCGGTTCTCCAAGATTAGAGTCCGTGCACTTAATCACGACACCAAACTAGCTCTCCCTTGGACCTCTCTGCCTTGCTTCCAAGATTGGGTGCACACTGAGCCAGGTCCTCCGAAGAGGATCTTTCCTCATGGGCAGCACCATGCAGCCGTGACGTGGGGAACTCACAAAGCCATCTGCATTGCTCGCAAGGCACACTTCCGGCACCGTACTTACACAACGTGTTCTCGTTTGGGCCGCCCAAAGACTCCATTCCCGCCACTTCGGGGAGAGGCCTGTAGAAATGGACATGGGGGGTGGGGGAGAGATGAGAGATTGTTGATCTGCAAAGACCTATGGTGGAGAACAGCAACGGCCCACCCTGTGGCTCTCATCAGGGCCTCCACTATGACCAGTCCCTGACAGGCCCGTAGCCAGGACTTTGTGGCTTGTGGGGCAATTTTTTTCCTCCTGGGCTGCCATTATTTGCCATAATGAAGGGGGGTGGCACACGCCCCTCTTCCCCCCCCCGCAAAGATGTAAAGGGCCCTTCAGCTGATCAGCGGGGAGAACGTGGCCTGCCGATCAGCCGGAGGGACCTTTACATCTTGCAGAAGGGAGGGAGAGGGTCGTGAGCCACCCCCTTCTTCTTTGGGAAAAAGCGGGGGGCCTTTAAGGAAGGAGGCTGGCCCTTTAAGGAAGGGGGCAGACCCCCCCCTCCAACAGCCCCACCGTAGCTACGGGCCAGGTCCCTGATCCACCCAAGGGAAGGAGCGAAGTGCAATTTTATGACGTCATTAAGTCCAGTTGTCTTCATTGTAAACTGAAATTAAAGTATTCTGTTTATTTTTAACCTGTTGTCTACCACCCTGAACTCTTTGGGGAAGGGTGGTCTATAAATTTAATTATTATTAACAACAACAACAACCCATATAAGTAACCTATGACTAAATTCAGCCACTGTACAGGAGACAGAAGAGTAGGAAATGGGACACCAATTTTTTAAACGGGACCCAGAGGGGAAATGGGAAATTATAGGTCAGTCAGCCTAACGTCTGTCCCAGGCAAATTAGCAGAAACTGTAATCAAAGATAAAATTGTTAGGCACTTTAGAGCAGGGGTGTCAGACATGTGGCCCGGGGGCCGGATCAGGCCCCCGGAGGGCTTCTGTCAGGCCCGCAGTGGAACTGGCTGTCTTTTGCTTCTTCTTCCAGTTCTGCTGCTGCTGCGTCAATGTAGGTTTGCAGCTTACAGATACACACCTGAACAGCATACTCAAGAATGCAACAGCACAGACATTTTGATGCAATAATTCAGAGCAAGAGGTGTCAGTTATCAGACACTGTTAAATAAACAAAATATTGCAAGAAGAGTGCTAATGTTTTAAGCATGTTTTTATTTTAAATAAAAAACCTTTTGTGTTTGTGTCCTTTATAAAATTTATATCTCTGCTACCTGGCATTACATTTTATGACACACATGGCTCGGCCCAACAAGGTCTCATTTATGTCAGATCCGGCCCTCATAACAAATGAGTTCTACACCCCTACCTTAGAGGGACAAAGCTTGCTGAGGGAAAACCAGCATGGCTTCTGCAAAGGCAAGTCCTGCCTCACCAACTTCTGGAGTTCTTTGAGAAAGTGAACAAGCATGTAGACAACAGTGACCCAACAGACGCTATACACCTGGACTTTCAAAAGGCTTTTGACAAGATACCTCGCCAAAGCCTCCTGAGTAAACTTAGCAGTCATGGGATATGAATGAAAAACTGGTTAAATGACAGGAAGCAAAGAGAAGGAATCAATGGATAGTTCTCACAATGGAGGAAAGTTAGCAGTGGAGTCCCACAAGGATCGGTATTCGGGCCGGTACTATTTAATTTATTCATCAGTGATCTGGAACTTGGGGTGAGTAGCGTAGTGGCCAGATTTGCAGATGACACCATATTATTTAGGATGGTGGAAACTGAGGCTGACTGTGAAGGGCTCCAAGAGGGACCTCCACAAAATGGATGCGTGGGCAACAATATGGCAAATGGTTCACTGTTGGTAAGTGTAAAGTCAAAGCAATGGTATTCCCAGTAGTCATGTATGGCTGCGAGAGTTGGACTATAAGGAAGGCCGAGCGCCGAAGAATAGATTCTTTTGAACTGTGGTGCTGGAGAAGACTCTTGAGAGTCCCCTGGACTGCAAGGAGATCAAATCAGTCAATCCTACAAGAAATCAACCCTGACTGTTTCCTGGAAGGTCAGATAATGAAACTGAAGCTCAAATACTTTGGCCACCCAATGAGAAGGGAGCACTCACTGGAGAAGACCCTGATGCTGGGAAAGATCGAAGGTCAAAGAAGATGGGGACGGCAAAGGATGAGATGGTTAGACAGTGTCATCGATGCAACGAACATGAAGTTGAGCCAACGTCAGAGGACAGCGGAAAACAGGAGGGTCTGGCGAGATCTGGTCCATGGGGTTGTGTAGAGTCGGACTCGACTGTGCGACTGAACAACAACAAAGTGTAAAGTGATGCACATTGGGACAAAAAAATTCCAACTTCAAGTATAGGCTACTGGTGTCTGAGCTCGCGGAGGCTGAGGGGGGAAACGATCTCGTGGTCGTCATGGATAACTCAATGACAGTGTCAACCCATTCTGCTACAGCAGTGAAAAAGGCAAACTTTATTTTAGGGATCATTAGGTTAGAGACTGAGAATAAAACCGCCGATATCGTCATGCCCCTGTATAGATCTACAGGGCAGTCTCATTTGAAATACTGTGTACAGTTCTGGTCCCTGTCTCTCCAAAAGGACATTGCAGAGCTGGAAAAAGTGCAGAGGAGGGTGACCGAGATGATGAGGGGGTTGGAGCACCTCCCCTGTGACGAAAGGCTGGAGAGTCGGGGACTTTTCACTTTAGAGAAGAGGCGACTAAGGGGGGACATGAGAGAGGTTTATAAGATTATGCACAGGGTGGAGAGAGTCGACAAAGATAAATTTGTCTCCCTCTCCCAAAGGACTAGAACTTGAGGGCATCCAATGAAAACTGATGGGCAGTAGGTTCAGGACAGACAAAAGGAAATACTACTTTACACGGAGAGTGATTAAAATGTGGGAATCGCTGCCAGAGGATGTTGTGATGGCCAAAGGAATAAACTGCTTTAAAAGGGAATTAGGTAGATTCATGGAGGATAAATCTGTCAAAGGCTACTAGCCACGGTGACTGAGGGGAAGCTCCACATTCAGAGGCACTCATTCTCTGAATCCCAGAGCCAGGAGGCAACGTCAGGGGAAGGCCTTGGCCTCTGTGCCCTGTTGTTGGCCCTCCAGAGGAACTGGCTGGCCCCTGCGTGAGGCAGGATGCTGGACTAGAGGGACCCTCACTGGTCTGACCCAGCAGGGCTTGTCTCGTTCTTATCAAAGGAAGGCCTCAGCCTCTCTGCCCTGTTGTCGGCCCTCCAGAGGAACTGTTTGGCCACTGTGTGAGACAGGATGCTGGTCTAGATGGACCCTCACTGGTCTGATCCAGCAGGGCTCTTCCTATGTTCTGAAAAGTATGAGAGTGATCACCCTCAGGCGATGCTTCCTTAAATGTTGAGAGAATCTGTGTGTGTACATAATGCTTATATAGTTTTTCTTTGGAAAACGTGATCAGATCAAAATTCTTATGGAACCAGTTCTTGTATACTTCAAAGGTTGGCTCTCCAATTAAGGGACTGGAAACGGACGAACCAAAGTAATGTGAATCTGTCTTGCTAGACCACGGATACATTTTAGCCATGACCCCTTTGGCTCAAAGAAGAAGATCAGAGCTCTGAACTTTTGTTCATAAATGTACAAAGCGGTCTTCTACTGAGTCAAACCATTCGTTTGCCCAGCTGCTGTCTGTACGTACTGTAACCGACCAAGGCTTTCCAGGGTATCAGGAAGAGCAGTTTTCCCCCCAGTCTTCCTAACAGAGACCCTTTGAACTAGAGCAGGGGTGTCAAACATGTGGCCCGGGGGCCGGATCAGGCCCCCGGAGGGCTTCCCTCAGGCCCGCAGTGGAACCGGCCATCTCCTGCTTCCAGTTCTGCTGCTGCTGCATCATCGCTTGCTTCGCCAGACTCTCTTAATCCCTTAGCCATTTCGTGTTTTAACCTGGGTCCTAGACTCAGAACTCTGAGCATGGGATTTCTGTGGTGAATGTCGCTATATCAGAAGTAGGTTTGCAGCTCACAGAGCTAATGTTTTAAGCATGTTTTTTATTTTAAGTAAAAAAAAAACCCTTTGTGTTTGTGTCCTTTATAAAGTTTATATGTCTCCGCTACCTGGCATTACATTTTATGACACACATGGCCCGGCCCAACAAGGTCTCATTATTGTCAGATCCGGCCCTCGTAACAAATGAGTTCGACACCTTTGAACTAGAGCTTCACTGTACAACTTTCTGAATGCGAAACTTATCCTTTGCAGTGGGAACAGTGACCTTCCCCAGTTAGGGTTGCCAGCTCTGGGTTGGAAAATCCCTGGAGATTTTGGGGGTGGAGCCTGGGGAGGGCGGGGTTTGGGAGGGGAGGAACTTCAGTGGGGTGTGATGACACAGAGTCCACCTTCCAGGGTGGCCATTTTCTCCAGGGGAACTGGTCTCTGTCGCCTGAAGATCAGTTGTCATCCCAGGAGATCTCCAGCCCCCACCTGGAGGATGGCGACCCTATTCCCCGATCCAGATTTTTGAAACAGGTTTTAGAGACCACCAACATAGCCGCACAAGAAACACACACACATATACACATTTTAAAGAAGGTGAATCAAATACACATACAGCTTCGCGATGCCGCAAAACTTATGGGTCTCTTGCGAGGAAGACACAACTGGAGGGCAGCAGCAGTATGCATAGTTTTCTTCTCACGACACCAGACTGTTCTAAAGATACTTTCAGGTGGCTAGCCATGTTAATCTGGAGCAGCAGAACAAAATTTGAGTCTAGTAGCATCTTAAAAGGGAAGGCGATATGGCATACCCCTACCATGGCCAGGATTTTGTGGCTTGTGGGGCAATTTTCCCCCCTGGTGGGGCTGTTCTCTAAATTGATCTCTAAATTTCAAGCTGTCGACCACTTTAGATGACAGTTCTCAGCTGCTGCAAGTTAATCGCTTCTGCCAGCCTAAGCAACAATTCTGGTAACAAGCCGACAGGTGGGGGTGATGACTTCTGTAGTCAAGAAAGCTAACACTTAGGCAGAAAACCTCTCTTAAAGGAGACCACTTTCTTGACACAGAGTTAGAAGGGATCCGAGAGGTCACCTACTCCAACCCCCCTTGCTCAGCGCGGGAATTAGTCAACTACAGCACCCCAGTCTGCTTAAAAAGGTAAAGGTTCCCTTGCTCGAAAGCCAGTCGAGTCGGACTCTAGGGTTGCGGTGCTCATCTCCGTTTCAAAGCCGAAGAGCCAGCGCTGTCCGAAGACGTTTCCGTGGTCATGTGGCCGGCATGACTAAACACCAAGGCGCACGGAACGCTGTTACCTTCCCACCGAAGTGGTACCTATTTATCTACTTGCAATTTCTTGCTTTCTAATTGCTAGGTTGGCAGGAGCTGGAACTAGAGATGGGAGCTCACTCCATCATGCAGCACCCGGGTCTCGAACTGCTGAACTACCAACCTTCCACAGCCTGCATTTCAGCGTCTTAGCCACTTGAGCCACCGCAGCTCCCAGTCTGCTTAAAACGTTTTATTTATTTATTTATTAAGATTTATACCCCGCCCTCCCCGCAGAGTGGGTTTTTAATTGATTGCAAAAAAGCATTTACAGGAGAAATTCTTTTTTTCTTTCTTTATTACATTTATACCCTGCCCACCCAGCCATGGCTGGCTCGGGGGATGTGCCTTTAAGAAAGGAGGTGGAGCCCCCCAAAGCCCCACTGTAGCTACATATCTCAGAAGCTAAGCAGGGTCTGTACTTGGGTGGGGGACCACCGAGGAAGACTCTGCAAAGGAAGGCAATGGCCAACCACCTCTGCTTCTCACTTGCCTTGAAAGCCCCTTGCTAGGTCGCCAGACGTCAGCTGCGACTTGACGGCACTTTACACACACGCACACACACACACAACCTTAAAGGCCAACAGAATTTGGGGTCTAAGCCTCCGTGAGTCAAAGCTCACTTTGTCAGAACCAGACTGGTTCCGCCCATCCCACCAGCCTCTTGACAGGCCCTGACATCCGATCCATCGAAAGCAAATTCAGATGCGTAATTATTTGGATTACGGGATAATCTCCCTTCCCTCCCCTCCCCTTTCCAGGCCAGTGGTTGTATATTATGAAATTCTCTGTGCTGTGATCAGGAGCACGTCTACTCCGAGACCAGCGGTTTTACCCACGGCAAAGAAATTCCTGGGTCGTAAGAGTGAGAAAATGCTTGCGACGCACTTCCTACAAGGAAACGAGATGCACTGACCTCTAAATCTGCCGCGTCAAGAGCTCGGCTGGACATTTAGTTATTTAAAAACATTGCATGATGTTTCCATGGCATTACTTCGTACAAGGAAATTGCAAAATCTGAATAAAGCCGCCTTTCCTTACCTTCTGGAAAAGATGCCCACCTCGAGCCAGTTTCCTAACTTCAGATCTCAGATTTTCAACATTCCCCCTTATTTTCCATTTGGCGTATTCGCTTGCGTGAGCACAGAATATTGTTTTTTTCTGGTCTCCCCCCCCTTTAGGATTTCCTAATCAACACAGCTGATCCAGAGGGTCATGTGTCACCGTTTTGGACTGCCCTGAACATGTGATGCTTCAGTTTTGCCATATAAGGCACCTGCTCTTGCCCGGTGATTAGCTAGCGGCTCACTGAGCATGCTCCCTGCATCCTGAACCTCCAGGAACCTCGAGCATCATTCAAGTATATAAACGGAGCTGAAATCTTGCAAGTGGCGGAGAGGAGCCCTAGACAGGGAGGCCGAACCTTTCACTGGGAGGGGGGTGCGGATCTTTTTTCCAGCTTATTCTTATCTTCTCACGGGGGACCCCGGACCCAGACTATGCCCGTCCTTAAGCCTGTTTCATGTCTCTGTAACTAGGGAACAGGAAATCTCTCTCTGACCCGCCCCGTGTCTGGTGAGAATAATTCCCCCCTCCCCCCCTTTTCAGACAGCTCAGTTCTCACATGCCCAGCTGGGCTCTGTCTCTGCATGAGGACTAAAGCCTTCTGCAGCCAGATGGAATGATCTCTGGTAGGCAAACGGGGAAAACTCTGGACATCGCCTCTTTGAGACACAGCGACAGACCTGCAGGCTCGCTTCGGCCCTTGTGAACGGGATCTGTCGCTCACGCAGTCGCCCAACCCCAAAACATTATTCACACCGCCGCATTCACAAGGCATCGAGAGGCAGCGTTTATTTTACCCGAAGGCAATCTGAGCATTTTGGGATGCAAAATGAGCCCTAAAATAATATTTAAAGGTTGCGATCACACACACAATTAGTCACGGCATAGGCATGAATGCCGGGCAGATTTAAAGGGCACGATCAGACACAAACATCTGGGAAGCGCCCTGCACTCTTCAGCAACCAGCAACCAGAAGCGGGGTTAAAAGACACCAGGGAAAGTCCAGTAGCAAACGGGTTGCTATGGACCACGGATGGACTTTTCCCTGTGTGATCACTTCAGCGCGCTCTCATGGCGTCGGGATGGTCTGATTGGGTATGCACATCATTGCACCCTCCATAGGGAGTCCTCGTGCTGAGATGCGACGCATCAATTCCCCACTTAAGCGCATCAGGAACAAACAGCAAAAACCCCACAGTTGCATCTGATCACGCAGTGGCGGGCTGCCCCCACAGCTTCAAAGGACTGTGTGATTGTGCAAATGTGGGTCTAATTCCTCCGGGGGGAAATAGCCTCCCTTCCCCTCATGTTATCTCGCGTGTGTGCCCGCCACCAAAATAAAGTAGTCGTAAAACAATTCAATGAAAACATATAAACCCACAAAACGGCAAAGCCATGGGGGGAGGGGGGCAATAGCTGGGGTATGCCAAAGAAACAAAATCTTCACCCACGGCCGGAAGACGACGATAGAGGGAGACCGACAAGTCTCCCTGGGGAGGGAGTCCCGAAGTTTTGGAGCATGATGGAGAACTTTCTCCAGTTGCCCCCTCTCTTACCTCCCCTGGCAGAAGCACCTGAAAGGTAAGTGGAGTGGATGGCTAGGTTCATATGGGGGAAGGGGGTCCTTAAGGTACATCGGCTGCAAGCCATCTAGCACTTCAAAAGCCAATACTGACACCTGTCATGGGCATGGATGGGTGGGCATGAGCTGACAGTGCCTGCAGAAGCAGCAGAGGAGGATAGCTGGCAAGTGCCTGTAACAGCAGTCATCACACCTGGCCCAGATAAGAGGGAAGAACTGCAAGCTGAGAGTCCTCCTGACTCACCCCCATGTGTGACTCATTTAAGGGAGAGACTGCAACCAAACTTAGCAAGCAGGTGAAGAGAGGCCAGGCTACAAGGGAGACGCTCAGCCAGCCCAGAGTTCTAACAGGAGCCTGGCTGATCGTGCAGCTGGCTAATTGGTAGCAGCGTTTAACTCCACACTCTGGGCAGTACCCTTTGCGGAAGCAACAAGTCAGCTTTGTGCTGCTAGCATCCACTCCAGCACAGCTCTTGCACCTAGACCTTTGGACCCCCATTCTTTGGACTTGGCTCTATGTTTCTGGCTCCTGACTGCGGCTTGGCTTTTTGGACTTTGCAGTGTCTTCTTGGCTCCTGACCTTGGCTTGTTCTGGACTCCCTTTGACTGGCACCCCAGCCTGTGACAACACCTTGAAATGGGCCTACAAGCAAATCAGGAGCCAGTGTAGATGGAACAAAACTGGAGGGATATGTTCCCTACAGCCCTCTCCAGCCACCATTCTGGCTGCAGGATTCTATACCAACTTTAGCTTCCAGATAGTCTCCAAGGGCAGCCCCATGTAGAGTGCATTGCAGTAATCTAATCTAGACGTTACTACAACATGTGCCACAGTGGCAAGATGTTTCCTGCCCAGGAAGGGTTGCAGCTGGCCCACCAGACGAAGCTGGTGAAAGGCACCCCTCACCACTGATGCCACCTGTTTATCCAAAGGGAGGATGACATCACGTTGGGGACGTCTGCTCCCCCCCCCGTGCGCCAGATCTCCAGAAACAGCAATTCCCTGCACTTAAAGGAGCCGGAGTTTCCCTTTAAGAGCAGCCGCGTTTCCCTTTTAAGAGCACGAAGCTGGCATTTCCCTGCAAGCTTGCGGAGATGAGGCTTTGGAGGAAACACGGGTTCCACACACTTAAAGGGAGAGAGATGGGTGGCTGTGGGTGTTGGGAGTGGGGCTTCTGGCAAGTACTTCTGGCAAGATGGCCGGCGGCGGGTAGAACCCCCCCAAAAAAACAGGGGACCCCCTGGCAAACCGGGGGGGGGGTTTGGCAACCCTACACCAGAGGTCACCATGACTTCCAGATACACACACACACATGCACATATAAAAAACCAACAAAGTCCTTTTTGCTGTTTCTAACAGGAGATGCCGGGTATTGAACCTGGGGCCTTTGGACCCTAGTTACGAGCTACTGTATATCGAGCCAGACCTTTGGTTCACCTAGCCAAGAACTAGCAGTGGCTCGGACGGAGAGAGGCCTTTCCCAGCCACGTACACATGGTGGCGCACTGTTCCCTCTAAGCTGAGTTAGTGTGAGCTAGCTCACAGTTTTTTAGCCTCTGGCTCACACACTTTTGTCTTAGCTCAGGAAGGATGGGGCTCCAGAGCAAACTAATTTATGCAGCAGTCAGATCGCTCACTTACAACCAGTGTTCCCTCTAAGCTGAGTTAGTGTGAGCTAGCTCACTGTTTTTTAGCCTCCAGCTCACCCATTGTTGTCTCTGCTCAGGAAGGAGGGCTCCAGAGCAAACTAATTTATGCATTAGCCAAATCGCTCACTCACAAGTTTAATGCCAGGAGCTCACAAAGTAGAATTTTTGCTCACAGGACCCCATAGCTTAGAGGGAGCATTGCTCACAAGTTTAGTGCCAGTAGCTCATAGGGTTGCCAAGTCGACTTACCTGCAAAGCGGGGGGATTCCGGGCTCTGTTGGGAGTCTCCCTGTGCGCGTGGAAGTGACATCATCGCGTCGCCCACGTTGGGGGTGGGGCACCGTGACTCAAGGGGAAACCATAGAATTTTCCCTCGATTCACAGAGTCCCCCCCCCACAACATGTCCAGGGTGATGATGTCACCTCTGAGTGACATCATCACGCTGGGGATGCCCTCCGGCAGGGGGTGGAGTTCCCCACGGGGCCTGATCCGCCGGCAGCGAGTAACAGGCCTCCCAGGCGGGAATTTACCCGCCCCCAGCGGGGGCTTGGCTAGCCTAGTAGCTCACAAAGTAGAATTTTTGCTCACATGACTCCGCAGCTTAGAGGGAGCATTGGTGGTGGGTATTTTTCGCTGAGAGGGCTATCTGGGACCGTCTGCATGCGAAGCATGTGCAGGGGGCCGGCCTCCTTCCCCCGGGTCTGGAAACAGAGGCTCATAGATCCCCGCTGCAGCTGGGCCTTTCATAGACCAGCGCATTAAGCTAATGATCCAGGGGAAAGGAAGAGGGGAAGCCGCCTCCCCTGGGCGACTCCATCTGCCCTGGAGTCTTGTGCTGCAGCAGCTGGGAGGAGACAAGGGGGCCCAGTGTCTGAGGAACACAGGATCCCTGTGGCCCTCCACGGAGGCTGGCTACGGTGGAGAAGGGCCTCCTGTTCACCAGCAGGACACATTTGACCAGGCTGGGTATGCCCAGCATCGGAGTATAGCAGCATCACTGTGCGCTGTGTACTGGAGGTGGGGGTCTGTCTGTTTAATTCGATTTGTGGCGTTTCTGGATCGCCTTTCCACAAAACACTCAAGGCAGTGAAAGACTAAATAAAACAGCCACCGTCAGTTCTAAAGGGACTGTCTGTCTATAGTGCCGTCAATTTGTAGCCAATTAATGGTGACCCCCCCCCCAAAAAGAAGAAGAGATTGGATTTATACCCCGCCCTTCACTACCCAAAGGAGTCTCTCTCTCTTTTTTTTAAACTGCCTCAAAGAGGCAGAATTTTATTAAGGTTTTTCAAATATATAACATATACATACACAAAGTAAACACATTAACATATTGACATATACACACATTACACACATACACATACTGGGATTGTTTACATTTTTAACAGATATTTATATGACTGCCTTAATCTAATATTCTTGTAACCTGTGTAGGTAACCATCTATCTCTATCTTTATCGATCTAAGTATATATTTCATTTCTGTCCATTCTTAACTTGCCTACATATACTTATCATACCAGTTATAGAACCGTACCCAAGTATTCTGGAATATAGAGTCCGTTGCACCTTTTATCAATAGAGTCAGTTAGTCCAGTTCTGCAGCCTCTAGTACTTTGTTTACAAGTTCTCGCTTAGTTGGTATCTCTGGTGATTTCCAATATTTTGCATATAAGATTCTGGCCACCATAGTGAGGAAAACAATCATATAGCGATCATCTTTGTTAGAATGTTCAGGTAGTATATTCAGCAGCATAGCCTCCGGTGTAAATGGTACCACTGTACCTAGTATTGTTTGCAAAATATTTTTTTAGTTCTTTCACAATACCACCACATATGGAAAAATGTACCAACCTTATTTTCACAAAGGCGTCTCAGAGTGGCTTACAGTCTCCTTTCCCTTCCCCTCCCCACAACAGACACCCTGGGAGGTAGGTGGGGCTGAGAGAGCTCTTTCGAGGACTGCTCGTGAGCAACGCTCCCTCTAAGCTGTGGAGTCTTGTGAGCAAAAATTCTACTTTGTGAGCTACTGGCATTAAAGTTGTGAGCGGGCGATTTGGCTGCTGCATACATTAGTTTGCATGGAATTATTTTGCACCTTCCTTTAAAAGCCAAGAATATTCAGGAATAATTAATAGTGGCAGTAATTAAGTTCAGGTTGCAAGTGCCTTGCAAATGTTTTAGGCAATTCCCAGCCAGAAAAGTCAAAAGGTTTCCCCTGCTGGGGGGAAAATAAAATCATAGAACCATAGAGTTGGAAGGGGCCATACAGACCATCTAGTCCAACCCCCTGCCCAATGCAGGACCAGCCTGAAGCACCTCTGACAAATATTCAGCCTCTTCTTGAAAGCTGCCAGTGAAGGGGAGCTCACCACCTCCCTAGGCAGCTGATTCCACCTTTGAATCACTCTGACCATGAACATTTTTTTCCCAACACCTTTCTGCATGTAATTTAAACCCGTTGCTTCGGGTCCTATCCTCTGCCGCCAACTGGAACAGCACCTTGCCCTCCTCCAAATGACAGGCTTTCAAGTATTTAAAGAGAGCAATCATGTCCCCCCTCAATCTCCTCTTCTCCATATCTCACCTCCCAGGACTTAGCTACTGTGATACATGCAATGGTCACTTCCAGACTGGACTATTGTAGCTCTCTCTGCGTGGGGCTGCCCTTGAATCTGCTCCGGAAGCTGCAGCTAGTCCAGAACGTGGCAGTGCAGGTGTTGACGGCGAAGTCTGTGCAGAGGCATATCCGCCCAGTGCTGTGCGACCTGCACTGGCTGCCTATTGAATTCAGGATTTGTTTCAAGCTGTCGGTAAAGGTAAAGGTTTCCCTTGCTCGAAAGCCAGTCGAGTCCGACTCTAGGGTTGCGGTGCTCATCTCCGTTTCAAAGCCAAAGAGCCAGCGCTGTCTGAAGACGTTTCCGTGGTCATGTGGCCGGCATGACTAAACACCAAGGCGCACGGAACGCTGTTACCTTCCCACTGAAGTGGTACCTATTTATCTACTTGCAATTTCTTGCTTTCGAACTGCTAGGTTGGCAGGAGCTGGAACTAGAGACGGGAGCTCACTCCGTCATGCGGCACACTCGGGTCTCGAACTGCTGAACTACTGACCTTCCACAGCCTGCAGTTCAGCGTCTTAACCACTTGAGCCACCGCAGCCCAAGCTGTCAGTACTTACCTTCAAAGCTCTATACGGCCAGGGGTCAACATACGTTTGAGACCACCTCTCCCCATATGAGCCCCATAGAGCACTAAGGTCCACCAGTCAACATCTATGTCTAAATATATATTTTTGGACTGAAAGCTAATCTGTTTGTATTTAACGAATATGTATTATTTTGACAAATGGTCTTTGACCATAAATAAACTTCATTCATTCATTCATTCATTCATTCATTCATTCATTCATTCATTCATTCATTCATTCATTCATTCATTCATTCATTCATTCATTCATTCATTCATTCATTCATTCATTCATTCATTCATTCATTCATTCATTCATTCATTCATTCATTCATTCATTCATTCATTCATTCATTCATTCATTCATTCATTCATTCATTCATTCAACATTTTTTGGTGGTCCCTGGCCCCATGGACGTCCGACTTGCCTCGACCAGGGCCAGGGCTTTTTCGGCCCTGGCCCCTGGCTGGTGGAATGAGCTCCGGAGTGAGATCAGGACCCTGCGGGATTTAATACAATTCCGCAGGGCCTGCAAGACGGAGCTCTTCCACCGGGCCTTCAGCTGAGGCAGCGGGCGTCCCCCTCCTTGAGTTGCCCCCCCCCCACTTATAGCCTGGGTTGGCCCCCGTTTACAGCTTGGGTCGGCCCCTATTTACTGTACTATCAACCACGGAGGTATCTGGCTTTTTACTAGAGTTGTATGTTTTACATGTTTTAACATGGTTTTAATTGTACTGGATTTTATATTGCTGTATTGCATTTATACTGTTGGAACCCGCCCTGAGCCCGCCAAGGGGAGGGCGGGATAGAAATCCAAAAAAATAAAATAAAATAAATATGACCTCCTGCGACTTCAATGCTATGGCCCTTTTAATACAACCTTTTGCCTTTTTTGCCACCGCATCACATTGACTGCTCATGGCCCCGGTCACACAGGCCAGATAATGCGTGGGGGGGAGGCGTGGCTGTTCGCCCTGGAGCAAAATATAGCGCGGTAGCCCAATCATACGGTCCCCCGAGGCTTCACACTTAGGCTGTTAGCTGGCGATCACACGGCGATGCTGGAGCGCGGCAAAGAAGCGGCGAGGCAAGAGTTTCATGTTTGTGCGCATGCGCAGTTCCACGGAGCAGCACTGCTTTCAGTTATGTGTTTGTGTGCATGCGCTTACGAAAAACATCCGGTTTGCGACGGGACCTGGATTGCCGCCGGATGCCACGAGATACTAGCGCTCCCGCAATCAGACGCCTGCCCCTGCCCCTGTTTTCCGAATACTAGTGCACTTTCCACGGTACTTATTTACTGCACATCTTTGGCGGGATGCCACGGGTTGGCCACGGGTGCACTACGCTTCCCAGATGTTGTGGTGTGATTGTGCCCCGAAAATCCACCAGACATTTGTGCCTTTAGCGTGGCAAATCCTCCATGTGAATGGGCCCCATATTTAGTTTACAGTCCACCCTTACCTCAAGATCTCTTTGGCGTACACTACTCCCCAGAAATGTATCCCCCATCCAGTATTTGTGCTTGATATCTTTGTGGCCCAGATGTAATACTGTGCATTTATCTTTGTTGAATTGCATCCTGTTCGCAACTGCCCACTTCTCCAGAGTATCCAGAGGATGGTGGAATACAAGAGGGCCTGGCGTGATGTGGTCCACGGGGTTGCGAGGAGTCGGACTCGACAGTGCAACTGAACAACAACAACCAACATAAACTTGGCACACCTTAGGATGGTTAACAATATTGCTGGTAGGGTTCTTGTGGCAGCTCGTTGTAGCTCACAAGAGATTGGAAAGTTTTTTGTCTTTCTCATGAAACCTTATAACCCTGCCCCTAATTTTGTTCATCTTTTAAGGTGCTCCTGGACTCTTACTCTTTTCTACTGCTACAGACAGACAAAGGCCCCATTCACACGGAGAAGTTGCCGCGCTAAAGGCATGAATGTCAGGCGGATTTTTGGTGCATGATCACACCACAACATCTGGGAAGTGTAGTGCACCTGTTGCCCGCAGAAGATGCGCAGTAAAAAAGGACCGTGGAAAGTACACTAGTATCTGGAAAACGCGGGGCAGGGTCGGGTGTCTGATCGTGGGAGCGCTGGTATCCTGTGGCATCCAGCACCCGTCCACGTCCCGTCGCATGCGCACAAATACGTAACTGAAAGCAGTGCTGCTCCGTGAAACTGTGCATGTGCACAAACACGAAACGCTTGCTGTGCCGCTTCTTTGCCATGCTCCAGCATTGCTGTGTGAGCGCCAGCTAACAGCTGTAGCACAGAGACTCAGGGGACCATGTGATTGGGCTACCAAGCTTTATTTTGCTCCGGGGCGAACAGCCCCCCCCCCGCGTTATCTGGCCTGTGTGACCGAGGCCTAACATGACTACCCACCTTGATCTACCTCGCAGGGCTATTGTGAGGGTGAATTAAGAGAGAGGGGATCGTGTGACTCTCCTGAGCCCTTTGGAGGAAGGCTGAGATAGAAATATGAGGGGGGATGTTGGGGGGGGGGAGTACGGTGTACAGAGAGAACCGATTGGCCTCTTCTTGCTATGATTCATTGCCACGTGTTGATTCACTCGGACTGGGTTGGTGTTGGGGGGACCCCAGAGGGCATTTTTGGAGGCTAGTCATGGGTGTCAACGGCTTATCATCCCTCCGTCCCTTCCAAATAGGTTCTTTACCTACTGGAGGTACATTCTGTACCAGGAGTGTTGTTGTGTTTTTACCAACTAGGAGGAAGTATCAATTTTTTTCTAGCCTCATTTGGGAGAACAAACCTTGGGAAGTCTTCGTCTTGCCATTCCTCCTTTACGTCCACGTTTTCCATACGGAGTGTGGCTTCGGTGGTACCCATCGTGCTCCCTGGAGGTGACTGGGGCAGCGCAGAAGGTTTAACAGGCTCCCGAGCTTGGTGGTCTGGAACAGAAGGCAGAATAGTGGCTCAACGTTTTTTGTTTAATGAAAAGTGAACTGTCAAGACGGAGGGTGGGTTCAATTGATAGCCACTACCAGCATTCAGAATCCCCGAGCCGGGGAGGGTGCCGTCGTAATTGGCTCAGATGGAGTTGCATACAAAAGTAGGCTTCAAGATGGACTGAAGGTTACTGGGCTAGAAGCAGGGATATGGCCACTCTTCCTTTGATCACAGAGAGGGCAACAGTGATTTGAATCTTTAAGGCTGCGATCACACATACTAAATAATCCACTTTCAATGTACTTCCCAAGTGGATTTTACTGTTCGAACGGGCAAAATCCAGTTGGAAAGTGCATTGAAAGTAGATTATTTTGTGTGTGTGATCGCAGCCTTAATGCTTAATTGCTGATTCACCAGTGACAGACTTCATCTCATGCATGTGTCAAGCGTTCCTGGCCTTCCAGGCTCACTGAGGCGGAGGCGGAGGAGGAGGAGGAGGAGGAGGAGGAGATTGGATTTAGACCCTGCCCTTCACTACCCAAAGGAGTCTCAGAGCGGCTTACAAACTCCTTTCCTTTCTCCTCCCCACAACAGGCACCCTGTGAGGTAGGCGGGGCTGAGAGAGCTCTGACAGAAACTGCTCTTTTTCAAGAACAGCTCTGACAGAACTATGGCTTGCCCAAGGTCATCCAGCAGGTGCAAGCGGAGGAGTGGGGAATCAAACCCGGTTCTCCCAGATTAGAGTCCGCGCACTGAACCACTACACCAAACTGGCTCAGGAGGCCACATCCTGATAGTGACTGTGGTGCACTTGGGGCTTCGGCCTCCCCCCCCCTGCCCTTTTTGAGTACTGAAAGGGCTCTATAGAGCTCTGGTTGGAAACTTACATGTAGCCATTGTGACATGTAAGTTTCCCAACACACACACATAGAACAGCTCCCAAGGGGCATTTCGGTTAGTGAAAATGGTGTGGGGCACTTCTCCAGTTGGGGTCTGGAGTTCTCCCAGACCTACAACTGATCCCCAGAGCCCAGAGATCTGTTCCTCTGAAGAACAGGGCAACTTTGGAGGGTGGACTCTATGGACACCACATCCCTGGTGGACTCTCTCCCCTTCCCAAACTGCATCCTCTCCGGGCTCTGTCCCCAATCTCCCGGAATGTCCCAACCTGCAGCTGTCAACCCTATGTGGAAGGAGGGAGACCAAAGCCCCTTTTCCCCACATGCTGTGGTTGCTGCTTCACATAGTTCCTGCACACCTTTGGGACGAGGAATTCCACCTGTGTGAATCAGTTGTAACCGGATCTTGTAGGCCTCCTGGAGTGACCCAGGCTGAGTTCAGAGCATCCAGGGCCGGCTCACCCACTAGGCAAACTAGGCATTCGCCTAGAGCGCCGGGCCCTGGATGGGGCGCCAAGCTGTGCCTCCCCCCCCTTTGGTGGTGGCGGCGGGGGGGGGGGAGAGGTGGTGGTGGTGGCAGCAAAAGGGTGGCTGGCTCCGGAGATCTCCAGGTTTCCAGGCCCCACCGGGAGGTTGGCATCTGCGCCATAAGGCAGCCTTGCCTAGGGCGCAGAATAAGCTAGATTAGGGACTGCTTCCTGCTCAAGTAACCTGCATACACATAAGTGCTCCTTCAGACCCGTAGCCACAATTTTTTTTTTTAAGTGAAGGAGCATAAGAGGATACTTGGGAGCGAAGTTGCCAGAAATACTCA